GTTTCTGATGAGGCTGCGGTGAACGTTAGACGGTCAGCTGAAGGTCCAGATGCAAAAACACCATCTTGTCTTTCAAATCGTGATCTCTTCTGTACTTTAGATTCAGCCAATGAAATAAGAACAAATGTCTTTTTGTGACAGGCAGCTGGTGACAAACAGCCTAAAGATCAAACTTTTATCCTATTATGTGTGGACACAGCACTGGTTCATCCCTTGAGTCAGGAGCCTTTTTATCTTTGAGTGATTCATAGGTCAAAGTTCAGAGTCTTAACAAAATCTCAGGTACATGACTGGACTGGAAATGAGTGAAAAAGCAGCCAATGTCCAAATAAAAACTTTAAAAGACCTTCGGAAATCTGGAGGCTCCCAGTAAGCAAAATTTAAAGTAATGAGTGGCTTAAAAGTTTATACCTGTTGATACTGAATGCTTAAATGCCCTCAAACATCAGAAACTGAACTGAAGATTTTTAGTTCAAAGTATGACACGTGCTTACAATGAGATGAGACATCTGTTATCCAAAAGACTTCCTGTTACAGCAGCCAAAACATTAAACGCAGCCTATAATAAAATCACTTCAAATGGAAGTTAAATAAAAAATGTAACATAAAACTGAATCATATTTAAGAATCTAAAATAAGAACCAAACCCCTAAAATTCTTTGAGCAATATGAAGGAGCGACAACACAGTTTTAAATGACGAGTCTGAAGAAGAAAAATTAAAAACTCGTTAGAAGGTCGACATGATCTCGAGAGGCGTCCAGTCCAACATGAAGATGAGTGAAATAACCGCTGGCGACATGGGCGGGTCCTGAGTTGATCCTGCCTCAGCTTCCACTTGATTACCAATGAGAGTGCAGAACAGCGCTGATGGGCATGACGCTGTGGCAAATCTGGCAGCTGAATCCTGCGACGTTTGTGAGCAAAAACGAAGCATGACTGAATCACTTCCTGTCTCAACGTCGCCCTGATGTTAAATTTGCATCTGTGACAGTTTAAAAAATTAACTAAGAAAGAAATCGCTCTTTCAAAATCATCAGATCAGTTTTATATTTTTATTATTCCGGTGTGGATGTTGGGAAAAAGCCTCAAACAGATTGTCGTGTCGTTTCTACGCGTTCTGATCCCAACGGCGCCGCTGTTCGCCTGATCAGCGCTTCATGTGTGGGTCTGTTTCCTATAAAAAATACTTGAATCACAAAGATTTCCAGACATTAAAGGCCGTCGTTGATCTCATGTTCGTTATGCTTCAACAGTTAAAGTGTGCAGACGCCGTTTCTGCTCGTGTCACTAACGTTTTCTTTTTCCGTCTCTAGGATGTGGCGGCGCTCCTCTGTCATACAGACAGACATTGAAGAAGAGGCGGACCTCGTGAATTGTCTAACCTCCTCAGACTGCACGTTTCCTGTGTGGGAGCCTCTCTGCTCTGGTTTTTCTGGCTGGTCTCATAAATAATGTAGCAGAAGTTTGACCGCCTCTAAACGCCGTCGTTATCGTGGTTTTTTGTTTGTTTTTTTTCTCCCTCGATGGGGCGGAGCTTCACCCTCGTTTGTAAATTGGTAGACTGATGTGGTGCAGGTGCCCCCCCCACA